CGAGGCCCGGACGGGGCTTATTTTAGGAGGCGGACGTGGCTGGGCAGCACGTCCCCGGAGCAGGGCTCGCTCCTTATCCCAGCGCTGCCGGAGCCGGGAGAGGATTGTGTGTCCCCCCCCCCGCTTCCAGTTTTCCTTCCTGGGTGTGTTTTTGGGGCGCTGCCATCCCCTAATCCCTGTCTTTTTTCCCGGGATCCGGAGCAGCGAAGGCAATTCCCGCAGAACCCGCCGTGTCCCGTCCGGTTGTCACCAACGCCGGCGACAGGCAGGTGTCATTAAATGTCATTAAGTGACCCGACCAAGGCCGATTCCTAGAGGTTTATCCCCTGGAAACGGGAATGTTGGTCCTCCTGACCCCCTTTCATCCCGCTGGGAAAAGGGACCCAACATCCCTGTGGCCCCTCGGGAGCAGACCCCGGGTTTGTGGCACAACGAGGGGATGAGACGGAGGTGACAGGAAGTTTGGTGCCACCCGGGTCCCTCCGTGCTGGAACAGCACCCAGAAAACCCTAAACCAAAACCTCGGGTGTCGCTCCATCATTCCAGGCTGGTTTTGGGGGGGGGGGGGGCACCTGGGAAAAGGTTTCCCATTTATTTCCCGCCCCTCCAAGGACAGCCCCTTTTCCTTCCAGCACCTTCCCAGCTCCCTGAGTGGCACGAGGGTCACCTTTTGTCCCCGCCAGCGAGCCCGGCAGCTCCCCGGTTGTCGTTTGCCGGAGGGTCCGAGGGGAAGCTGATAAGGAGCGGGAAGAATTAAGGGCTTAATCTCCCCCCGAGTCATTAAAACCCGGCTGGCGGCTGAGTCAGAGCCTTGGCAGGAAGCTCCCAGGAGAGGGCAAACCCCCCCTCTGGAAAAACCGCTCAGCCCCTCCACGGGAATTCGGCAGAGGGGCAGGGAAGGGGTTGGAAAAGCCACCCTCACCCCCCTATCCATGTCGCCAAGGGGACACCGAGTCCAACGTCCCGGGAAAAGCAGCGGGAAAAGCGGGAAGAGAGCAGCGGGGGGTCACATCTGGCTGCG